TGCCACCGCTTCCAGCACCACCACCGCCGCCACCACCACCGCCACTGTCGACCGCGGCACCAACAGCAACGCAAACATCAACGCCAACACCCACAGCAATGCCAACACCACTACCTTCATCGTCATCTTCTTCGTCAGCGGCAACCTCGTCGCCCTCGATATCGTCGAGCTCAGTGGCATCCGGGACGCAGCAACATATACTTTCGTGCGGACGACAGTGCGGGGTACTGCCTCCCGCAACCCTGCAGCCTACGAATCTACCACCCCCGAATATTCCTCCTCCGAATTTGCTATCAACGCTGACGCAAATGCCGCCAAATATGATGTCTATGCCACCTTCGCAGACAATCGTGGTCACCGTACCAAACGCGTCCAATGTACCCAACGTTCCCCCGCCGAACGTGATACCGCCCGTGATGATGTCAGCACCTCCACCTCCGGTTCGTAACGTTTCGTCGAACATAAATTCGGTTCCACCGCCGAATTTGAATATTCCACCCCCGAACGTGCCACCGCCTCCGATAATACAAAATGCCGGCCCACCTCCTTCTTTGATGTCGACAAGTTATCCTCTTCCTAATCAAGTCACTCAGGTACCTATGGGACCACCTAACATTCAAGTGCCACCACCGGCGAGGCCGTTGTCCGGTCTACAAGCTACAGACCAGCTAGGTACGATATGTCGATTATTTTCATCTGTTTACTTATTTCGACGTATCGCCGCGTGTCGGATTCTAATGGGATTCTAATTGATTCGCCGCAAATCATAGTCTCTTCTTTGAGGGACCGAGCGACTGTTTATACAACGCGCATTATTATCGCGCGCGCGATACGGCGAATAACAAACACACGGGCAAACACGAGATATGCGGAAGCATACTTGCGAACCATCTCTGTAGACATACGTACGTTCTACTACGCTACAGAAACACAAAAACTAAAAGTATATAAGCGTTGTTGCGCGTGTCTGACAAAGGCTTCTAAGTGTGTCCCGTAGAGGCTGAGCAGCTGGCACGCATCGTCGCCGATTGCGGGGATGAAATCGAGCAGGAGGCGCGAGAGAAGAATGCACAAGATCCTAAGTTATGGTAACTACTGTCCTCACTGGTCCCCCCCCGCCCCGTCTCGTGTATTAACGCGTCGCGTTGTCGGCTTACCTCCTATTAAAACCCGCATACCGGTTCGGTCGTCGTTCTTCCGATTTATTCGTTTTCTCTATAGATACGTATAAATACGTACAAGTCGGATAGTATCACAATTGGAATCCAATTGAGCCGCTCCCTTATCCGTAACCTTATCTCTTGCAAGCGAAACAGAAAATACTAATCAGCTTGACGATGCGAACGAGACCATGAACACCATTCGGTAACGAACAATAAGAAACCGTGACACGTAACTGTACACGTTCGAATGCGTGCATACATGTAATTTGAAATTTTTTAGCTTGTTTCGCTCGGAAAATGTTTTCCTTGCGGTTCATGTTTAACGCGTCCAAAAGAAATTCTATTCCCGTCGCATTGTTACCCTCCTTCGCGTAACGAGTAATAGGACCACTTTGTTCATCATGTGTTTTCTTGCTTGTTCCTCTTTTCTATCTTTCTTTTCTTCTTTCCTTCTCTTTTTCTTTTCTTTTCTTTTTTCTCTCTTTTCTTCTTCTCTTCTTCTCTTTTTCTCTTCTTCTCTTCTTCTTTTCTTGTCAGTTCCTCTCCTCATAGAAAGGAATTTACTTTAGGAGAACACGTTACTTGCCAGAGTCTTAAATATTGTTTTAATCAAGGTTTCTGCACCAAAAGCAAAGTGCAGCGTACCTGCAGTACAGGGGGTTAGTGGCCAAGTTCCGAGCTGAAAAATCGACCAAGGAACCGAAGGATACCGGTGCAGAACCTTATTGTCCGGAAGAAGCTCTCAGCGATAACGATGACGGTGATCAGAACCATATTCACAAACATGTGTCTTTGATGCAAGGTGAGTGACTTGTTTTGTATACGTAGAAATTAGAAAGATAAAAAGACACACGGGATTCAATGACAATTATATAGATCGTACGAAAGACGAAAGCAAGGAAGAACGTAAACGAAAAAGACGCAGTCGTTGGGGTGATCCGGATAATAAAGTATCCATAGCGGAACTTAATACATTGTCTACGAAGAAACAAAACAGTGCGAGTCTTTCACAGCCGGGTATTGCGATTCCTGGACAAATTGGCCAACCAGCTGTAATAATTCCATCATCGAAGATGCAACACGCGAAAACGAAAAATCCCATGTTGACCAAAATTTCTAGGAACGATCCGGCATTGATACAATACGCTCGACAAACGTTTGGCACGTTAGACCTCACCGAAGAACAGTGGAAAAAAGCGGAAGATCATTACAAAGTGAGATATACGAGCAATTATCAAGCGAATCGTGTAGCTTTCATCGAGACCGTTTCAACACCGTTTAAGTCTCCATTGAATGTTTCTTATTCGTTAGATAAATCTACTGTATCAAAATCTGTTGAGAAAACGAGAGGAATTGAAGCGCTTAGAGGCACAGGGCAAGCATAAATACGAATACGATAGCGACGAAGAAACCGAAGGCGGCACCTGGGAACACAAGCTTAGGTCCGCCGAGATGGAGGCTACTCAATTGTGGGCAGAAGAACTGACAGCTCAAGCGGAGGGAAAGCATCATATCGGTGATTTTCTACCGCCGGACGAGCTGAAAAAATTCATGGAACAGTACAACGCGGTCAAGCAAGGAAAGGAACCCGATCTGAGCGATTATAAGGAATATAAACTCAAAGAAGATAACATAGGTACGTGACACGGAGTGATCTTGCTGTGGAAATCATTTTCGTTTCTCGATTATTATACGTGCTTTTTTTCGACGATTCCTCCACTGTTATTTCACGATTAACTTACAACATTGTCGTTTACGTAGGATTTCAGATGTTGCAGAAACTAGGTTGGAGCGAAGGACAAGGTTTGGGTAGCGAGGGCAACGGACGTATCGAACCTGTTAATAAGTAACCGACATTTTTTCTCGTTTATACATCATTTCCTTTTCTACAAGTACGATGCTCATTTGTTCAACACGAAAACAACATTTCCGATACAGGGCGACTAATAGGTTCGATAGCGCCGGCTTAGGTTCTGAGAGACCAGACGGGGTATCTAGAGACGACGACGAATTCGACGCCTACAGAAAACGAATGATGCTGGCTTACAGATTTAGGCCTAATCCCTTGGTAACCATACTCTACGTACACATGTCCTTTCGCGTCATCGAAAATTCCATTAAGATAATGTGATACAGTTTTTTCTCCTTTTCAGAATAATCCTCGGAGACCTTATTACTGAGAATGACTATCTATGGATTGTGTCTATGGCGTTAAACGCGTATAAATTTTCTATTTAGTTAAACAATAAAACTTTATTATTTTGTATATTTAAATTTGCGGAAGCGTACAAAATTATACATAAATCATGTCATTTTCTCGAAGGTGGACAATATAATTCAATAGAGTAAATATCGTAAGCTCGTTTTCTTGCATCCGATGTGTATGCGTGTGTGTGTGCGTTCGTGCGCGCGTCTATATGCAATACCTACGCGCGTATTGCACTTTACGCCTTCTCCTTCCCCCGTTTCCGCCGCGTATCTGCAAATGACGAGCACAGTTTGTCGTGTTTGCTAAACGTTAATATCGATAGTCGTTAAGAATGTAGGTAATTTCTTTATACGAGTCGACACTCCGATTAACGTATAGAAGAGGTTACAGCAAAGAGTATCGAACATAACAAAGGAACCATCTGGTTGACTGACTGGTCGATCCACGTACAATACATATGTAGGTACATACATACGTACATATCGTACGTATATCAACTGGTCTGTCTATAAGCCTTGCTCTTACTTTTATTAAGCAGTCTCCGTTTACGACGTCCGACCACCTTTCAAAACGATTAGGCATCGTTGCCGATAGACGATTCAACTTGCATTTATTTACTTCGAAATCGGTTTTTATCGGTTTCACTTTCTTCCTTCCTTCCTTTTCCTTATAGATTTCGTTAGTCGAGGTGTACTTATTTTCGCTTCTCGTTTCTGGCATTTCTCCATGTTATGTATTCAATTTCATTGAATTTCATTGAATTTCTACCTTTTCGCTTCGTGTAAATTATCACGTTAATTTATTCGCATTTTTCACCGATTTTCCCGCTTCTATATTTGCTCCCGAGGCCATCTTTGGAATTTCAATGCATACTCGGGATCGATGCGGCCTAATAATCACGGAATGCACATTTCATGGTAAGATTAAGTAGCCGTAATATGCATCTATATGCTATGGCATATGTACTTGGATAGGCGGGTACATGGAATATTTCTAGTAGATATTCACTGACCGCAGGAATCGTTCACACGCTGTTTCCGACTCGTGATATTAAAATTCAGTTCGACGCACAGTCTCGAGATGAAATTTACGTATACGTACCCCACTACTACATCTGCGAGGTATATCAAAAAATGGATTTACGGTAATGCAAACTTGAACCGAACCTATTGATCCCAAGCGTACAGAATTTATCGAGAGTATTCGTTACATCACCATTTTCTTCCCTTGTTTCCGAGACTCGAATCGTTCTGGTCGTAGCTCGAAACAACGAGCTTTTAATAGAGAGCGTTTTTCGTAAAGAGCCGAACCAAAGGCCGCGAACATACGAATTATCTACGTTTCCGTAGAGTTCGGTAAAATGTCTGAAACGCGCAGGTATATCTGTTGCAGCTCACTGACGAAGATTTATGCAGTTTACGTAGCGCGGCGATCATCTCTGAATCGTGGCTATTCTGCCTTTCTTTTTCGTCCAATTATTCCCGTATGTTTCTCGCAACTCGCAATGTTAGTCGGAAAAAGAAGAGAAGGGAGGAAGGAGAGCGATTCGCAACGAAACGGAACGAAACAGAACGAATTGAAACGGATCGAATCGGATTTCAGATCAGATCACCGCTTTACACGGGGAAAGGACGGAAAGAGACCAGAATGGTTGTTGGCCGATCAGTGGGGAGAGGCGTAGGTACTCCTTCAGCGTCGACACGTGTGTACGTGAAAGTAACTCTTACAGTTCAGCTGGAATCGTATACTTGTCAGTGTTTTATGGTGTCGGTGATCCCGTCGTTCACCACAAAGTTGAGATACGCTCGAGGTGCTCGGTCCCGTATATCATTGTGCGCTTTGTCGGCGGAGGGACGAGCGATTAAGTGAAAAATACCGAAGCAAGCATAGGGCTAATAGAATCGTGAGTATGCCACGAGGCTCCAGTGTTTCCTGATCTGCACCGATAGTGTGATATTATCGAACAGCACGCGTAACGCAAAGATCAAGGATCGAACTCCCCGAGCGGAGCAGAGTCGTACTTTTCACGGGACAGTGCGTCCGAGAGCTCGGTCGCCGTGATTCTCGTCGGACAAATATTCTACGTATCTTCGGATCTACGTGCCGCTTCGATTCTCGAGAGACGACGAGTACCGAGATTTTCGAAAAGAATTCCATCTGTATCGCACCCGGTTCCTCGTACCGCGAACCGTAATCGTTCCGCAAAGTATAAACAGTTTCCCGACAAGTGACGCACGTTTCCCGCTTTCATCGGTCTATTCCTTTTTCCAGTTTGATTTTCAAACGTTCTAGCTGCACACGACCGAGCAGGAGAATCGCATCGAGGTCCAGTGTTGTGTGTTTATCATGGTGAATCGAAGCCGCGGCAACAAAGGATGTATCTAACTGTGCACGAGTATCGTTAAGGAGCGTGAAAACACTCGGAACATGTTTCTATTTTTCATGAAAACAAGAAAACGCAGGAGAAGCATGTAAGATTCAAGCGCGAATAAGTTCATTGCGACGCGTTTATCCGTCTATTTAACAAACGTTTCATTCACCTGTGTCCATTCGATCTCTGCAGTCTTGAAAGATTCCAACATAGACACATTTAAACTTGAAGATTAGCTTGCCGGAACACTGAAAAAGGATGCATTGAAGCAAAACCATTGACAAACGATGGCCGCAGATCAATGAACACGAATACCAGTTGATCGAAAACGACGAAACGTTCATGGTTACTGTTTGTAATCGTTGTAGTTGCAGTTTTCACCGTGTGTGATTTGTGACCTCTGAATCTTTCACACCATATATTATCTCTTCACTCGCTACATTTGTGCATCGAGAGAGAGAGAGAGAGAGAGAGAGATGTTTCGTTTGGTGCACTTTTCTTTTCTTTGCGCGTACCAACGATAAGTGGATGTTTCGCTGAAAAAGAAGAGGAACCCGTTGCACCCGCGAACAGCTAATCAAACCCATAGTGATCCTCATCGGAAGTGTCGGTACGTGTTATTAAAATCGCCCAAATTTGTTCCTTGTCTTCTTTACTATTATTCTCTTTTCCCTTTCCGCTTTCTTCTTCTTCGTCGATTCACCGTCACCGTCATCAATTCGTCATCATCATCATCATCATCATCATCGTCGTCGCCGTCCTCGCCGTCATCATCATTTTCATCTTCCTCTTCATCTTTTCTTTCTCCCTCTTTATCTTCAACAGCGCTGCTGTCGCCACTTCGCCACCATCTGCTTCCTTATCTGTCGTATCCTTCTTTCTCTCTTCGAGTTTTTGATTATGAGAGAGGCTGTAATCATTACCACGTGCCTGTTGGGTTTCGTGTTCGCTGGAAGTCCTAGATTGCCCAGGACCTCTGCCGATGAACGTAACATTCGCAATGTCAGTAACAATGGAAACAACGTCACTGGAAACACGGTACCACCGCCAACTCGCAATCCTCAGAGAAATAGGTAAGCTCGTGTACTCGATGTGCTGCCACACACCATACATCGTTTCTTTATACGTTAATGCACCGCGATTGTATCATTTTATCGAAATACATTGTATGCTAGTAAATAAATAAATTAATAAATTAATAAATTAATAAATTAATAAATGGACAAATAAACAAATAAATAAATAAATAGCCGACGTTTTAGCATATATCGGTGTTTGCGACAACAGTGTCCATGATATCGCGGTGTATATTTACGAATCTGTTATTTTTCACCTTCTCACGTTCGTCGATTATTCTATTCGATTATTCTTACTTTATTGTTGTACAGCGATTTATGAATCGGTATTACGTGGAAGCAAATGAGCATATCTAACATCTTGTGATCGCATTATAATTGCAAAAAATTAAAGTAAGCATTTCCGCTATTATAGGGAACAGGTTTGTACTCTCCTTTTTCTCGCTTTCTCTTTTCATCCTCTCGATTCGCATGGTATGTAGCAACGTACACCTACAATATACTACTATAAATCCTCTCGTCGTGTCGCGTGGTTCTCTTATGTTGTTGGTGTACTGTCATACTCTTAGCTTACGTTACGCTCCATGCTTATATAACGTCACAAAACACCGAAACAACTTGGCTTTTTAATAGGAGCAAACTTTCCGTTTGACACCATTTAGCACTTGACGATACAAAAAGCATACTTGTACAAGTTACGTAATGAAATTCTACAAATTTTGCCAACAAACCACATGCCATTCCCTTTCATATTCTCCGTTGGCCGACCAATTCTTTTGCAATTCTTTTTCGTCCATTCAGCGCGCCAAAGTAGCAGTGTTTCCGTAAAAATCTGTACAATTTCGAGCAAACAGAGATTCGTAAACCTTTTACGATATTTCAGTATCGAAAACCAAGAACCCTGTTCGCACGCCGGCAATAATGGTCTGGGTTTATATCAGCCACGGACATACACAACGCGGCGGGCATATTTAACGTAACGTGGGTAGATTATCGCGATATTATTCGAGTACTCGATACGGCGGGATAGGCCGTTAACCTGTGTTGTACATAATATGGTACAAAACTTATTTTTTTTCTGTTTTTTATCCAATAAGGATACATACATATTATCGAGCACTGCAATCTACAATATGTTTATCGAATTGCATTTTCCAGAACTGTGTGTGTGTGTCAACGAATCGAGTAAACTCGAGACGAGAAAAGAAACAAATGTACACACACCATTTCGTTCCTTTTCGATCATTCTCTCGTTAGGCGAAATGCACGAGAGCGGTTTACGGGAAAATGTATTCTGCTTTTTGCCAGACAGAAGAACATTGCTCCTCTGTTACCCGAAAAGAATCGTTGCGACGCGTCAACGTTTTCTCTCGAAATATAGTTATAATAGTTGATACTATTATTCTATGCGGAAAACCAGTTTGTTTGGGATGGGTATAATACGTCGCTCTACTCCTTTTTCTCTTATTCAGCAAAAGTGTTTGTTGGCAATGACGTTGCATGCTCGTATCAGCAATACCTTGGTAATTTCGTGCGTATCGTTGATCGATTTAATCGTATCCGAGTAAAAAGATGTCATGCACTCGCAATTTCCCCGTAAACATGGACGATGCAAGGACATCCTCTATAAGTTTACCAGCTCATTGACAAATAAAACAATCGAGAACTCGAAGAATTCGTAGCCGCAAAGTATCTTGATTCTTTCATTCGTTCTGAATGGTAAACGTTACATTTCTAACGATCAAAAATATTATTAATCGAATTTACGAACACGCGAAAGCGTTCCGTTTTCCTTCGTTTCGTTTTAATGTTCATTAAATTCCAGTTACGAGAATAATTTGTTTCTGCTTTCGCTCCCTCTCCCTCTCACTCTCTTTTCTCCCACCATCTCCTTCCTCGTACCCCACCCTTTCTCTTTCTCTTTCTCATTCTTTCGCACACGTACGTACTTACCTTACAAAAATGAAAGGGTTCGAGAACTTTTTCCTTTCACCTTATTCTTGCCCATACACGTAGACTATTTTCAGTTATACACTGTTCAATGAAACGATATTTTTTAACCCGTACACTCACCTACGGGTGCATACCGTGTGTACATAAATGTCTACGTACACATAATTGCATTGCGATGCGTTCATATGGAGTGATATATCGAATGATATAGACGCGATAGGAACAAGTATGCGGAGCATTGCAATCCGCTTTCTCTAAAAACCGACAATCTCCATGGTTTGACGTTTTCATATGCGCGCATCTACGCGTGCATCTACCGAAACAAAATAATAAAATGATAAAATAATGAAAAATATACGCGCTACAAGACGTGGAACACCTACGATTTCTTTCGTTTCTCCATTTCTTCTCTTGTCCCTCGCAAGTTTCTAGAGACACTTGTTGGAACATTTCAAGAAATTTCATATCCGTACGCAAACGTTGTCTTTAATTTGAAGGAAAATGCTCAGAGGGGAAACGAGAAACACACAGTGTAGTGCATCTTCCACCTCTCCTACACAGAGTTCGCAGATTACCGTTGACTTTTTAGACTGGTCGCGTAGGTACGCTAATCTAGCATCCTTCGAAAGAAGGACACAAAGGGAACGGAAAGAGAACCGATTCGATCGCGGGGATTGAACGACATCACCAGTGGGATACTAGTTCTCCTTTGGTTGCGTAACAAATCCGAGCTCTAGTTATGACAATACGATTGCACAAGCTCTACTAGATTCCTCGGAAGAAACGAAAGAACGGTAATCAGGGCACACTTGATTCCGATCTACGGACTGCGTAGGAAATCATTGAATGCCATAAAGAACAAGGAATCGAGAAATATACGCGTCGCATCGAAATTCAAATTTACGAAATATCGAAATCAAATCGTCCACCTAGCGACGATTACCTTTCTCTATAGTTTTTCATCCGAAATTGCTTTTAGCTCGACCCTGCCGCAACACACTATCACTTTCGCCCTATAATTTCTTCTTTCTTTTTACAAACATTCTTATAGATATTTCCGGTCGCGGAATGTCGTTCGTTATGTACCGCAAAACGCGTTCCGCTTCCACGTTTTCGTTGCTAGTTCCCTAGTTTCATTCTTTCCATTCACATTACATTTTACGTACAGACAGATTTCTCCGCCTCGATTAGACCTTTTTAGACACACTCTACGATAACAATTCGAATATTCTCTGCAATGAAAATGTTACCACTGACACGAAATTACTACTTGACTACGTACATGCTTGTTAAACCTATTATTATACCTTTGAGGTCTGTCGTTACGAATCATTTGAAAATCAAATTTGAGAACGTCGACGAACGTCCAATACGGTGTATCTAGTAGGCGGTTATCCAAGTAGAAGGGAGGATTTCGCAACGATATTACAAGAACTTTTCGGCGATACGATAAATCGGCGTCTTCCGATTCGAAAGGACCGCGCGGTAAATAGGTTGAGATAGGTACTACTGACCTGTCCGCGAATCGATTGCGTAAAATTCAAGGTACACTTGCAGCTTACGCTGCAGCAAGAGAAAGGATACAACTATCCAAGTTACTATGTTGCTCTCAAGACACGGTCAGAGCTTTATTTCGAAGCTGAAACCCTCTTTAACTGAAATATTCGATCGTTCCAATAGAAGAGGATAAGAAAAGAACAATTAAAGGCAAACTGTTGCCGCATTAAAATCAAGAGCAGTTACCCGGACTGTTGGCCGATTAATATTAACGCGGAAATACCGCGTCATATTCATTCCCATCGAGAAAGGGGGGGAGGGAGAGAGGGAGGGAGAGAGAGAGAGAGAGAGAGAGAGAG